AGGGGGGGGGAGGGGTTACTTTAGGTATGCATGTTATCTGGGACGTTAATACTGGTGAAAAACTTCCAGTCTTTTGTTCTTGTCTAATGTTTTTTTCCAACAACATTTTACCTGGACTTATTGCCACATTTACCAGTAAGAGTACGTTCTCATATTTCTTTCATTTGAGTGTACTCCCAATCCATGATTTTTGCAGTTCACGTTTTTACTCGATCGTGCTTTTAGCTCAAAACTTCCACTGTTTATTTGTTTGTTGTTATTGTCTTTTTTATTGACATGGGTTGGGGGGGGGTACATTTTCTTTGAGGCTGTAGTGCTGTTCTTGTTATTGTTGCTTAGAAAGCTATTGCTATTGTTGTTTTAATCGCTCTTGCTACGAGTGCTGCTTCTATTTGGAGCAAAGGCTTCTGAATGGAGAAGCAATTGGTTTGTTTAAAAGCGAACGAGATGACAGAAATAACGTCAATAGCAGTTTTCTGATCTCGTGCCACAGAATTAGTTATCACTGTGTTCTTGTTGCTGTTGATGTTGTTGTTTGTTGTTGTTTGTTGTTGTTGTTTTTGTTGTTTGTTGTTGTTGTTGTTGTTGTTGTCGTCGTTATTGTTGTTGTTATTGTTTTAATGTTGTTTGTTTGTTGTTACAGTTGCTGTTGTTTTTATTGTTGTTATTATTGCAACTGTTTTTACTGATGCTGTTGTTACCGTTGATGTTACGATATTGTTGTTTTTGCGTTATTGTTTGTGTTTTGTTTCGTTTAGTCAGAGATATCGTTATCGCTTTTATCAAACCCTTTACATCTCAGATCACTGTGGCAATTTGCTTTCAGTAAGCCGAGTCCCTTAAAGTGCAAACAATAATAAATTTCTCGTCCTCTGTTTTTCACAAAGCCTGGATTGTCTCTATTCTTAAGCAGACTTGAAATAGAGGATCTCTCTTCTTATAATCAGCAGATTATGTCAAGTAGTGTGTGTACTAGTTTGTGTGTGTGTGTTTGTGTGTGTGTGTGTGTGTGTGTGTG